CTCAGCATTTGTTTACCTGAGAAGCCACATAGATGTCACAAACCCCTGCTAATCAAAGAAGGTATCTAACACTAATGATCCTACAGACTCGCAATGAACTCTTAAGCTCACCTAATCTTAAATTCATCCCACATATTTTGCTATAACAGCTCACATCTATCTCTAGCGTACCTCATAAACAACAGCACCCTGCAGTTGTTATTTTACCTTTGATTATCAGAAGCTGGTGATTCAGATATCGAATTTGACGTTCACTTTCACTTAACTTTTCAACAAAGTTTTCTAGTTGTCTCTCTTTTGCTTTGTTAAGAACCTGAAGTTGAATAATCTGTATATTTTCTGCAGAATCTGCTTTGGAATTAAAGATGGTTTATTAGATTAAAAATATATCAAAATATAAATTTGTGGTCATTTAAACCAATGTTTTTCAAACTGTGGATACAACTTATCAGAGTATCATGAAATCAATTCAGTGGATTGTGACTAGCATTTTTTTAAAAAAACAACATAGAATATAATAGACTATATCAGAGTATGCCATGTAGTAAGAATAAGTATTACTTTGTGAAACTTTTGTTTTCATTTATATACACTTGATTACATAGATATATATTGTAGACTGCATCATCATGTTCAAAAATGTACCTCTTATTGTGGGTCACTGCCAGAAAACTTTGAAATTTCGGTCACTGATTTAGGATATAAACCTGAATCACTACCATTGTGGCCAATTAAAAACCAGTATATAACAACTGCAATAGACAAGAGTAATATGTCCTCATAAAATTAAAAACAAGTACATCAGCTTCTATAAAATCATTCTGAAAGAAAATTTCTAGATACCCTTCTCAAAATATTTTAAACGAGATACAAATATCATATTAATATTTACGCTGGCACATAATTCCAGAATGAATTAACTAATGAATAGATTAATAAAAAATTTTGAAGTCTTCTTTGAGAAACAAAGTCATTTTAGGGAGCTCTTAAAAATGACTGAGTGAAAAATGAAAAAAAAAAAAATGATTGGTAGGAAGTCCAGTTTTCTCTTTGGTCTAGTGCAGGGGGCCCAGAATATCCACTATGTCTTCCCCCCACTAAGTAAAGGAAAAAGAAAAAACAAAAACTCACTGTCATACTCTAGAATCACACTGGCTCTTAAACACGCACAATAATTACAAATTATTTAATATGCCAGAGAATATGACAATGAAAGTTAGACTATGAAAACACTAATTCGGCATAGTCACTGTGTAAGTTTTGGTTTTTGGGTTTTGTTTTTTGTTTTTCTATTCTCTAGCAGAGCTGTAAGCACTTTTCTCATTCTCATATTTATATATATATTATACAAATGGCAAGTGCCACACAAGTGAACCTAATACCTAAGTTTAATTCCAAATATAAAATAATTTATATCAGAGTTGCCTAATTATTAATATTACATTAAAACTGTAAAATCAAAAGAAAAAGTCAAGATGATAATGGCTGACTTATTAAATTACATTTCTATATGATGAAAAATCTGATATTAAAGAAAAATCTATATTTCTCTTTCCCAATTAGTCTTCAATTAAAAAAAAGTTCATAAAAAAATCTTTTCTTTTTTAAATTTCAAATGAACCCTAGTCTCCTGCATGACAGGCAGGGATACTAACCACTATATAAATGAGAATGCTTTAACTAGAGTGACTGAAATATACAGTTGAGAAAAGTTTTCATTTGACTTTTCATTATGGAAAATTTCAAACATACAAGGAAGTTGAGAGAACAGCACAATGAATCCCCATGAATCCATCTCCCAAATTCAACAACTACGAAATCATGGCCAGTTTTGCTTCACCTATACTTATACCTAACATCACTCTGCAACAACATATTATTCTAAAGTAAATCCTAGACTTCATATCAGTTCATATGTACTTTAGTATATATCACTAAAAATAAGGGCTCTTTGCAATATCAACAACAATTCCGTTGTTATACTTAAAAAACTATTCTTGAATGTGTTCAAATATCCACTCAGTATTCAAAATTCCCCAATTATGTTATCGAAAAATAAATTTGATACCTACTTTCATTAGCTCCTAAAAATTGTTGCTGCAGGCCTTCAAATGTGTCACTTCCTGCTATTTCCTGGGCTGGTGAGCCATTATTCTGAGAAGACTGATAAGGTTTATATGTCACTTTATATGACTCCAAAGCTTGACAACCAGGACCTTGTGATGACCCAAATTGCTATTATAAGATGACAAATGAAAGTGCCAATTAGGATTTGGTCTTTTCTTCCAAAATTATCTGACTTAAACACCTTAATTTTGTGTTACAGAACTTAATAATAGTATAGTTACAAATTTTACACATATATCTTCTCAAAAATAGTACTTATTATTATTTAATACTGTCAATTAGAAGTCTGCAATATATAATTTACAAACACCTTAATTGTACTTTTGAGCACATAATGGAGCCAATTTCGTAAATAAAGCTCAAGAATTCCAATGAGACTGTATGTAAATATTTTATAACAAATGATTTAGATGGTACCAACATCTTGGGAACATAAAAATGCACATGCTCAACAACAAGAACATGTGGAATGAAGAACATTCTACAGAGATAGAATTAAGAGAAAATAACCATCTTAAAAGGACCAAAACAATCACATCATTGGGTGACATAGAATAGCTATTGGCAAAATGAGACATTTGTTGTCACTGAGAAATTCTGAGAAACAACTAAATGTATCCTGAGGTCTTACTTCATTAAACTCTCCCACAGGAAAAAACAAGGTGCTTTTATTTCCTTAATATTCATTCTATCTACTGTCATATCCTCCTATAAAATAGATATCAGCTTGGAAATGTTTAACCTAAAATTTGTTATAACTGGTAAGCAAGAAAATTGAGGAGACTAAATTCTGTCATCTACACAGAATTACTGCTTTAAAACCCATATGAAGGGACGGGCGCGGTGGCTCACGCCTGTAATCCTAGCACTCTGGGAGGCCGAGGCGGGCGGATTGTTTGAGCTCAGGAGTTCAAAACCAACCTGAGCAAGAGCGAGACCCCGTCTCTACCAAAAATAGAAAGAAATTAATCAGACAACTAAAAATATATAGAAAAAATTAGCCAGGCATGGTGGCGCATGCTTGTAGTCCCAGCTACTCGGGAGGCTGAGGCAGAAGGATCGCTTGAGCCCAGGAGTTTGAGGTTGCTGTGAGCTAGGCTGATGCCACGGCACTCACTCTAGCCCGGGCAAAAGAGTGAGACTCTGTCTCAAAAAAAAAAAAAAACCATATGAAGATACCTGAAGCACAGAGAAGCGGTAGAAGCCAGAGGCAGCAGTAAATGAAGACAGTTAATTTTTGGCAGACTTAATTCTTAATGTTTAAATAACTGTTTCCAAAAAGCCTCTATTTTAAACTTCGGACTTAAGATCATGATTGTATTAGATTATAAACAGAAAACAGCATGACTAATTCACCATGAACCTGAATAAGTGCCCTCTCAGAGAGTTGTGTGGTTAAAATAAATCATCTCACCACCGCACTTACATACATTTCTTAAACGCACACAGACATCATGCAGATGCCTGTGCACATATACACAAATTCTTGAAAGTCAAGTTCTTACAATACCTGAAAATGGTTCCTTTGGGGGTCTGAAAATTTAATTACATTGGTTGGTTGGTTATTAAATTCCTGCTTCTGACCACTGGTATATGGTCTAAAGTTTTCAGGAAGGTGATATAAATCAGTCTGTTCACATTTACTTGGAGGACTATAGCCACTTCCGCCTTCGTCTCCACCTTCTTCACGATGGTACCCTGGGTGTCGGTCTTCGGTTTCACTTCGATGTTCTTCCCAGCCATTACCACATTTTTCTCCAATGTATAAACTCTGAATTTCGTTATAGTCCTATTAGATAACAATAGTAAAACAAAAGCACTAAGATCTATTCCCACCCCCATCAAAAACATGATCACACCAGACACAACTTACATTTATATTTTGAGATTTGGGCAGCACTTGATGCTTATTCCAGTTCATCTCCGATTGCTCAGGATGATGTGGTCTTGAGAAAAATCAATACTTTAGATTTAAAGACTATCATTTACTTGGACATAGATAACATAAACAAGCCCAAGATTTTAACATGTTTTCCCTCCATCCTTCACCCAAAATTTTAAGAATCAGTCTACAGTTGTATAATCATGTACATTATTATTATCTGCAGAGAATCAAAAGAAAAAGACTTATAGACTTGCAATATACAAGTGAAAGTGATGTCAGGTCCTTACTCTCCCTCTGTGCCATCCTCACTGCAGTCCGAATAGTGGAGCTCGGGGGACGAGAGGTCATCATCCAGCATATCATGAGGAAGGTCCGTGAGTAATTGCTGCAACTGAGTCAGAAAAGTCTGCATCAATATCACACTGACTTCGATGCAAGATGCCAAACCAAAACTGCCTTGGAATGAGTGATTTTTGACAGTAGAAGTCAAAGAAGTTCCTCATTCCTCCTTTAATTAATTGCTTAAATTCCACACAAATTATGTTCATCATTTCAGTTGGGGAAAGGGGAATGCATAATGTCAGTATTTATATCAGAAGGCTTTACTTTTTTTCTACAAAGGTCTCAGATGTAAATACACATACAACAGAATTGAAAAACTTTTTTATGGAAACACAGCAAGTCACAATAATGGTATAATCATTGTATTATTATGTTATCGCAGGGCACACTGAGTCTCAGAATCCTGTTTTACCAGTAATCAGAGCTTGAGGACTTGACAATCAGACAGCCCTGCAGGGAATCTGAGTGGCCAGATGCACTCTGCCCAGGTGATGAGAACAACAGCAGCAACAGGTGGTCTAGAAGCCCTTAAAAGCTCTGAAACCTCTTGGGGAGAGACTTAATTAGTAGACAGTCATCTAATTCCAATGATGAAAAGACATACAATACCCTGCCCTTATAAAACATTTGAGTAAAAGGAGAGTTGGAAGATTCAGTTTTCTACAGATAGCACACTCAAAAGCGTAACACTAAACCTGACGTTAAAAATTTGACTTCGCTCTCCTATTTTTTCTAGAAACATCACAATTTTAGCATTCTGCCTACATAAACTAGAGAGACAAAATTCATTCATTCAAGTTTCAAGATAAACTGTGATAAAAAGATAAATAGTCTAATTTGTTAAATTTCAATATCTGCAATTGTCTTTCTTCAAATCTCATTATAAAATCTCTTCAAATTTGTAACAATCAGAAGATCAAATATTATGTTACTGAATAGTTTGTAGGGGGACTGCTTATAATAATGACTTCTCTTTGAGAAACTAAGGACCAGCTTAATTAACAAGTTGACTAAGTCCCTCCAAAGTCCAATAATCAAAGCCATAAAATTATGCAACAAGTGCATTTTAAACATGTTAAATACCCTGTAAAACCTTGGAGAAAAAAGAGAAATGCTTCTTGGTCTATGGAAGGTTTATTTCCCCCCGCTTTCTCTGTCATTAGTATAAAAGAAATGGAATATAGCTATAAAACATATCTATTATGTTAAGAATTTAAAAAACTTTCTTTAACACAATACATATGGTAAAAGTTAAATGAACATATTCTAAGGAAGGTCTGAGAGGAATGCCCCAAATTGTTAAAATTTGGGAATGGGAATGGAGTAAGTGAGGTGGGAAGGGGGATACTTCCTCACTCCACATAGATTTCTGATATTCACGACATGGTTTTTTATTTTTTTAAGGTTTTCTCAATCCATTTGGTTCTTTAAAGACGAAACAAGAGAAAGATATTCTCTCCAATGAAAAGTTATTTTCATCTCTAAATCTGTTTGCTGCTAAAATTAACAACCAAGACCTTGATTTACTGCCTACCTGCACATGCAGGGTGCTTAAAAAATCATTTTGAGAATTAGCCATAGTCAGAGTTGACCCAAAGACATAAAGAACGAGAAACACAAAAGAAACACACTAAAAACAGAACACATCAACATATTAGTATACAACCTGCCTCAAGTGAAAGGTAGCAAAGTAATTCTACAAAGACACAAAATGCACTAGGAAAAAAAATGACATCTATGAGGTCTTTTAAAAGTAGTCCAACCTGTTTTGCCTATAATTATGCATCACTGCTTTAAGGAAAAAGACTACCCTCACATGTTACACAGGGAAAAATAACAACAAAATAAATCTTTTATACTTACATGAAGTAGAGATTGATGAATAGAAAGAATATTTTTTTCTAAACCTTCGGTAAGGTTCAAGTACATAGCCTTATAATTCAGAGGAACCGTGACAGGGACATCTGAACAGTACATTTTTTTTTTCCCTCACAAAAACAGAAAAAGCTATATAATGATTAAGCAGTTATTGTAGCTTTCTTTGTGACACAACAAAATTAACAAAATCGGCATCCATGGAGGAAAATTAACTTGAACATAGGCAATCAGCTAATCAAAATGCTTCCAGATCCAGAGGTAAACTTATTTACTAGCAAAATCATTCCTATAGTATTTAGAGTCTCATAAGATATTTTTATAATATACATGGGCTAACATTTTTAAATAGTTTCATTCACCTTCAAAAAATTTCTCCACCAATTTCTTTGGCATAACTGGGTCATATTCCTTGGCTTCTATAATTTTCAGGGTAAAGAAAAGCTAAATGAAGTGAAGTCCTCCTACTTAAGGCCATTCAGGAACAAAACTCCACCCCCGTTTCCATTTCCCAGGATCAATGTGTACCCTCCTCATATACACTGTCAAATAGATTTTGCTTTTTGTCATTGAACCTTGTGCCATAAAACACAAAATTGCCATATCTATTTATGCACATTACCAAATAGAAAATTTTAGAAACTATAAGTTTTCCTCATTAAAGAGCCACCCAACTTCCAAATAGAGATTCAAAGAACTCAGAGATAGCAATCCTTACAAATGAAAAGATTTAATCCCACTCATTAATTTCAAATTCGTCAGACTGCTTTTTGGTTACAAGCAGCAATCTTTTCAGTAGGATATTATTATGTACCAACTGAGTTTAAAAATTTAAAAGATACCTTCCCTAGAAAAAAGATAATTTGCCACTGTTAAGGCTTTGATTGAAATAAAATCCGAATCATTCTACAAACTCTTCTCCCTTTCTACTTCACATGTTTCTTTCTTCACAAGAAAAAAAAGAAAGAAAAGGAAAAAAAAAAAGAGGGCATTTTACTCAAAGAACTTTGTCAACAAAACACTTTACAACTCATGGAGAACACCCAAAAAGCCTATGTTCAGGGATAATGTAAAACAGAGAACATGTAAACCCTTTGTTAAGATTTTCAACTTAAATTAACTAAACAGACTGTATTCTAAGCCTATAATCCCCTCATATTCATGAAAGCAAAAGTTATCCAATTACAAACCATACTCTTCTCCCAAGAGACAAGCAGCAAGTGGAATAGCTAACAGTCATATTCCCTTCGAACAGGTTACCTCATTAAGTACATTTCTGAAAAGATTCTGATATTTAAAAATATGAACTATTAAATAATGCTTTCATGCATACACACTAAATGTAAACAAATATTAGCTTTACAACTCCCTCTAGTGGACACAAAATATCAAAATGCTTCCATAATTACATCAAACAAGGCAGTTAGAAAGTGGAAGAAAGGCTATGCAACGGAAACCTTGCCTCTAAAATACATGAGTCCAAGCTCAATGGAGCTTTACTATTCCATTAGAGAAATACCAATATAGAAACCAAGAGGAACCTAAATCCATATTGCCAGGTGTTTCTGTCTGCCATCTGCTACTTAAACCACATCCCATTCTACATAAGACCATTTCAAATACATCATCACTAAGTGACCCATCATCAGTAAATATTATTTTGATATCACAGTTTAGCAAGTATTTCTGCCCCAAATCACCAGCTCCAGAATATATACATACATACATACATAGATAATTTTACTACCTAGAACCAAGCAATAATCACAAAGCTACGCCTGGTGACACTGAATAAAGTATATATACATTCCAGCAGACTTTGAGATTCCCAAATGACAATCTACCTTAAGTTATGGCTTTCCCAATAACTTAGGAGCTTATAACAACCATTCCTATGACCAAGAGAACAACAACTATATCTCTGTAATATCCAACTATGAAATCACAAAGTTATAGTGACTTTATGTGAAACGTATTTTACAAAATCACATTGTTATATTATGAATGAGTTAATAAAAGAGCTTTTGAATTTTTTTCTGGTCTAGCTTTATAAGTAAAAGTTTGCTTTGGATGAGGTCTACTTAGTACCAAGAAGGACAAATATATCAGCAGCTCTGAAGTGGTACAGCAAGAAAGTAATACGCTCTGGTAAGTTGTGAGGAATGTGAGTAATATGTGACTGTTAATTGAAGTGATACTGTATCTCCATGGTGCCATCGCCCTCATTCACTCACACCCTAATCTGTTCTGTCAACTATGTAAGAGATGGAGTTTCATTTGGACACCGGGAGAAACTGTGGGTTATGTACCTCTCTGCTATGTGTTGGCCCACAGTGGCCCAACTTTTACTAATGTACTACTAAGAGTTATAGCAATTTAGAAATGATTATAATGCCTTGCTTTTCTGCAAAATTCTCAGAGGTTTTTTTTTTTTTCCCAAAATATGGATCTATTCATGGTGGTCTGTGGCTTAAGATTCCACTGGTCTAAATGTTCTCTAAATATTGAATCACCTATTTACTAAATCCTTTCGTTTTCTAAAGATTAAATACATTTTCTCCATTTGATCTTCAATGCAAACAATGGAAGGAACAGAAATGGAAATAACTGTAAGGCTACTAATTAGGATGGCATATAGATTGGAGTTTGACTATGCCTTATTCACAGAGATATGGGCAAATGTGGACAAAATCCCAACTAGCATCAAAGCAACAAAATTAAACAGTCTGGTAAAGCATGTTGTATTAGCAACTGGCTATTCACATTAGAAGGTCAAAATCAAGATTATGCTACCATTTACAGAGAGAGGCTCTCACAATCCCTTAGAGGGCAGACTATGAATCACATGTGGTATACTTGATATTGGAGATAAAGGCATTTCTCTTACACAAGTGAATTGAACACAGAGTGATTCACTAAGTAGAGAAAACAATATGCATTAGCCCACTGCTAACAGTTATAACGTACCCTCAATCCTAAAGCTACCAACCAGGTAGTCAGGAAGCTCTTTTCTTTAATCTCTAAAGGCTGTGAATTGTTCTGCTATTGTAGGGTCACAAAGACAGAGGGGGTTGAAAAGGCTTCTGGATATGCAAGCAAGCTTGGGTTTGATCAGGCAATTTGTTATTTTAGCTTGCAGTGACAAAGTATATATACAGGTGAATTTTTATCAACAATTCTGAATTTTATTCCTGAAAATCTGAAACTCTCAGCCTCTAATCTCACTTTTTCCCTTGCAGTAATTTTTTTAAGTAAAAACACTGAGGAAAAATTTTAGAATTCCAGAAAAAAATAAAAAAAGTAAAAACATTTATTAACACGATATTTCTCAATATAACCATAATCATCATGTTAGAGTCAAATTAGCTATAAATTCTTTTCTTCCCCTCTGCTAGAAATACTTATTCTTAGATACTTCATTTTTTAAGAACTCTTTTTTCCCTCTGGAAATTCCCTACTCCAGCAAACAATCTACCAGAGGTGATCTCAATGGCTATTTTCTATATTATCTAGAATTAATCGCCTCCTTAACTAATACCTCCTTTAAAATTTTCACCACACAACACACTGGCAGCAAGCTCTAATATACTATGCATCTCTCTAATAATCTTTTCCAACGAAAAATCACCTGTCAAAATATTTTTTCTTCTTTACAGTAGTGATTACTTAAACTGACCCTCTCAAGAATCCCAGTGGCTAAATCTCAGCCAACTATCCAAGCCATCACAGTCATGAAAACCTCATGTTGCAGGTTCAAAAAGTAACAGAAAATCCTCATCCCCATCCTTGCCATGACAATTGTTGTGAGGGACTCTGCCAAAATCCAGAAACTCTCACCAGAGTCACAAACTCAAATGCCCTCAGGGACCTGGCAGAGAATTTACAAGAGCAAAGCAGGCAGGTCTGAGCGCATAAGCCCATGTCTGTGTGAGACGTGGGGACCACGGCCAACTGGGAAAGGAGAGTCACTGCTCAGCTCCAGCCCACCCGCCGCCATGTGCAAACACAGGCCAGGTGTAGCCAGGGCTTTGGATGCTTTAAGACAAGCCAGGAACTCTGGAGTACTCCATGAAATTTTCCAATCTTTAAATATAGATCAATTTCGAAAAGCACTGAGCAACCAAACAATACATGTCTATGGACAAAATCCAGCAAGCTGCCAGTTTTCTATCTCTACCGTAATTCTACTGCCAGCCACATGAGCGATGGTCAATTGGCCCTATTCCTTTCTGCTAATACTAATGGTCCACAGCAACTATTAAAAAGGATTACTTTACATAGTAGGAAATAGGCGCTATCAAAAATTGTCTCAGGACAAAAGAAGCATTTTATCATAGTCAACCAAGAAATCTGACTCCAACTAAAAACAATCATGACGAGTAGACTGACTTCCACCAATAACACTGTTACTGTTACTATTGCCACCATTTGCTGAACGGTTACTGTGTGCCAAGAATGTTGCTAAACACTTTATATGTAAATAATGTGATCTACTCCTTTCCTGCTATAATCTATTCACCACACAGCCTTCCTAAAGGTCTTTCAAAAACATAATCAGATACCATCCTTAACCACTTAAATTCCTCCACTGACTTCCCATTGCTCTTAAAATAAAATACAAACATCTCATCATGACTTACCATGATCTGGCCCCATCCCACGTCTTCACCCGCCATCCACCACTTGCCGCTGGCTCACACACTCCCAACACCATGGCCTTCTGGCTGTTCCACAGATACACGGGGTCTCCTCCCAGCTTCCCACCTTTACCAACGTTGGTAACTTGGCCTAGAAAGCTCTTCCTCAGGCTGCTGCAAGGCTAGTTCCTTCTCGTCAGTCAAGTCTCAGCCTTAAGATTGCCTCCTCCAAGAGACCTTCCCTCACCACTCTATCTACTGCTGTCCCCTTCCAATTGCTTTCATATCACCCTAGTTTGTTTCCCTATCATTTATCCGTGATAAATTATCACTCAAATTACTTTATTTACTCATTTACTTGTTTACTATCTGTCCCCACTAGGATGTAAACCACCCAAAGCAAAGAGCCTTGTCAGACTTGTTCACAGCAATATTCCAAGCACCTAGAAACTAGGCTTCTGCTTCCAAAGCCAACCATTACCTCCTCAATGAAAAGATCTCTAAAAATTTAACCATTTATCTGATGGCATCATTCACAGTTGTGTTTTGTTGTCTCAAAAAAGAAAGCGTTTCACTCATCCACCTTTTACAAGTCCAAATATTGATCAGGTTTTAGGGTTGTTTTGTTTTTTAAAAAAGGAAAAAAAGAATTATAAATCCCTTCAAAATGGCACAAGATGATATAATTTTGGTCAGGAGATAAAAGTTGTTAAGAATTGGGTTTTTAGGGTCTTTTTCTGAGTGACATACCTCTTTCTCCCTTTCATAGTCTTCTTTGTCATATTCTTCATCTTCATTTTGTGTTGGTAGGGCCACACTGCCAAAGTCTAATGACATGGTGGTCCTCCTGTGGGAAGAGGAAGATGTTTGGTTTCTAAATATCCTATAAAATCTCCCCAGAACAAACTACATAAGAGATGCCATACACAAAGTCAAAAGACGACAACAACAGGTTATGAGTTTCATAACTCATGTATGAAAAATACAAATTAATTGTGACTAATAGAAAATAGCCGTATGATAGCAATTCACAGAAAAGAAAAAATGCAAGGCCGTGCACAGTGGCTCACGTCTGTAATCCTAGCACTCTGGGAGGCCGAGGCAGGAGGATTGCTTGAGGTCAAGAGTTCAAGACCAGGCTGAGTAAGAGCTCACCTGAGCAGACCCCATTCCTACAAAAAAGGAGAAAAACTAGCCAGGTGTGGTGGTGCCACCTGTAGTCCCAGCTCCTAGGGTACTCAGGAGGCTGAGGCAGGAGAATCACTGGAGCCCAGGAATTAGAGGTTGCAGTGAGCTATGATAACACCTTGTACTCTAGTCCAGGTGACAGAGCAAGGCCCGGTCTCAGAAAAAAAAGAAAAGAAAAGAAAAAATGCAAATAGGTAATAAAGCTATGAACAGACTTTTCTACTGGTCTGTAAAGTATAAGAAAGGAAAGGAAAGGAAAAGAAAAGAAAAAATGCAAATAGGTAATAAAGCTATGAACAGACTTTTCTACTGGTCTGTAAAGTATAATTCAAAACAGTAAGATATTTGTCCACACAAAAAAATAAAATGGTAATAATAATAAACTAGAAATGTGCTAAACATAAAAATCTTAAGAAAAAGCTCAGACGAAATTTCCAATTTGATGTATTAAACATGGCACAGGTAGTATTCTCTACAATTTGCTTCTCTGAATATCACAAATCCAAACTTCATGCTTTCCAAAAAGAGGGCTCCTAAATCCTGAGTTAATGATTGCTAACCCAGAAAACATTTACAATCTGGTAAACTCTATAAGGCACACAACAGAAATATAAGTGTTAAACGTCCTGCCCTTAAATTTGATAAAATCAGGTTCTGGCAAAATACTCAAGAAAAACAGAAGCGAAGGCTGCGAAGCTACACCGCTGTGGAGTTCCAAGTCCAAAAGCAACAGCAAGAGTTCCCGGGGGAACAGGCACTGCTGTGGCCAACGCAGCAGCAGGAAATGGGTTTTCGACTACTTACAGGCAAAAAGGCAGCTGCTGATTTAAATTATACTTAGGGATCCTGACACTACACATAACCCCCCAGAACTTCAAAGCTCTGAACAATCCTGACCAAAAAAAAGGAGGCAGGTGTCATCAATTACCTGGCCTAACACTGCCCTCCATTCAGTCCGCTGTTGTCCACGCCAGTGAAATGCACTTGGATGTGGGCCTGAGCCACAACTCATTCACTACACCTTTTAGGCTCTAAAATGTCATTAAATTGGAATTAGAAGCATAGAGACCCAGAAATTCAAGTGGATTTTACCAAAAAGAACTTAGCTCCCTTGTGTTACCAATTGAGAACTATATCACAAACTTTTACATAAGCCAAGAGCTCCACAGCAGAAGATATTCCAGTTCATCAGATCTAAGGCACCCTTGATTCTATGACGCAGTTCTATTTGTTCCACTCAGAAAAAGATGTAGTCAATTAAATTATGACACATCATTAATTTTAAAATGCAGCATATCTTATAGATGAGAAAATGTGAAAATAAAATGTGCAAGTGAGAATAAATAAAGTATTAAAGATTATCACAAATATAAACTTCAGTGCTAAAAATCCCCATAGGTCAAATTTTTGTTTTTCAAAGACTGAATTATGTCTCTTGGCCAAGCTCTAATTTGCTGTCCACCTTCTAATCTTTTCCTCTGTGGTCCTTACACCTCGCCCATCCCTTTCGACTGACATCAACTCAAATTCTTCACATGAACTTAAACCCTTCCAGCCTCTGCTACTTAGACCAGACCTATTCCTTTCTACTCTTGTACCAGGCTATTGAGAGAAGGGACATGCATACTCTTTCACTGAGGGGGAAAATAAATAAGTTTGGGAAATATAACTCCATCTAAAGGAATCCTCTTGTACACCAGCATAAGATGAAGATCTGAATATGGTAAAGAGCCTACAATATAGCTGAAATAGTGAGGGGAAAACACGTAATTTCATGTCTCTAAGTTCTTTCACTACTGCAAGTGAACTTGATAGCCTACAGAACATTGTACCTAGACAATGAAAATACTAGCCCATTTAAATCCCATCTCCTTAAAAGAGATGAGACTAAGCTGGACCTTAAAGACATTTTTGAATTTTTTAGGAAGAAACAAACCTTTCTGCTTCTGAATTCTTACTGTGTTCTCTACCTGTTCTTGTATGTAACTATAAATACAAGACAAAATACGGAATTTGGGTTAATTTCTCCTTTATTAGGTAAGAGAAGGGAGATTTTTTTCCAATCCTTCACATTAACCTGCCATCAATTGATCTTGATTACTGAAAAAGAACATTAAAATTTACAAGAGCCTATTGCTAAATATAGCTATTGTAAATAAAGAGCCACTTTTTCTCAGAGAATAATTCTACAAGGGATTTTTCAGTGAAGAGAATGTAAAAAATTGAAATGTATTTTTAAATGGCATTTTAAATCCAAACCATGTCATTAAAGAAGAAATCTGAAAATATCTGAAAAGACCAAAATCTCCTCCACCAGGGAAGAAAAGGTATAAATAAAATTTCCTCCTGAAAAGTGTACCACCAGAGACCTTTAGAAACAATTTTAGAAATAAAGGGAAATCTCGGGGGGGAGGGAGCGGGGAGGGAAATCTGATCAACTTACTGTGGTTAAAAAATATATATATACTAAAAAAGGTAATTAGTATTTCAAATGAAATGCTAATATTTTTCTTTAATTTATTAATCACCACTAATTACCACCACTATCAGAGACTTTAATATTCAGAATAAAAGAGACTGCTTTAAAAAAAATTGCAAGATAGTAAATCCTGAAGCCATAAAGAAAAAACTTGACAAAAACCTAACTATGCAAATAAAATTTGTGTAAGGCAAAGACATTATTAACAAGTCAAATATTATGTATGGAAAAATACATCACTAATAAAGTCAAAAAATAAAATAATAAATAATGAGAAAAATATTTGTAAAACATATGACAAAATCCAAATATATAATTCTTACAAAGAAATGAGAAAAAGACAAACAACCCAATTTAAAAATGGGCAACTGACATGACAATTCATTAAAAAAACAAATGTAAATGCTCAATTAACTTGAAAAGATGTTGAAGTTCATGAAGTTTCAAAGAAGTGCTATCTAAACAACAAAATGCCATTTTCAACCACTAGATTGAAAAAAAAAAAACCTATTAACACCCAGTGGTGGTTATTTTGTATGCCTCATGAATTGCTGGTGAAAATATGAACTGCTAAAACTATCTTGAAAATTATCGATATTGATATACTGAAAATGAACATATGCCCTAGTGAAATTGTTTTTTAATTAATTTGACAATACTATGCCACTAGTAAAAATAATAAAATGTTCCTATATTTATTGACTCAGAGGGCTGACCATTTAAAAAATCAAGAGTCAGAATAATTGTATAGTATGCTTCTTTAAATATAATAGTCTAGTAAAGACTTTCTTCCTAGCTAGATAACTTTTGCTGAACCCATTAATAGGACTATAAAAAGTATGTCCTTTTGTTGTCTCAGATCTGTTACACACAGTGCTCTGACCCAGCTCTGACTCAGACCCAGTGCTCTGACCCTGACCCTTTTGTTGTCCCTGGTTATGTTTTCTAACAAGAAGACCGATGGGTGTTTAGTTGGACAAAAGATTACGAAGCAAATATAACATTGCTTTTGCCTCTTCTAATAAATTATAACACCCTAGAGGCAGAATTAAAATGTATCTGACCCCTTGTACATGGTAGGAACATAAGAAATATTTCTTGACTGAATATAATATATGCATGTTACCCTACAGGAATTCATTATTTCAATAAAATGTCACCAGGCATCTACTGTGTGCCAGATTATATCCTAGATGCATCTAAAATAGGGTACCAGCCACAGGAGCTCAGTTTCTTAGAGAGACAATGATACAAACTAATACTTAGAATAACACATTGTAATAAATTCTGTAGTACAGTACAAAGCACAAATTAATTTTGCCTAAGAAGAAAGGAAGGCTTAGAGAATTCTCATGGAAAGAAAAGATTTTAGATTAGAAATAAATCTTACAGGACACACTATGGGTGCGAGTGGCTAAAGAATGAGGGCACACTCATCAGACAACCTGGGCTCAATTCTGGCTCTTTCATCGATCAGCTGCGCAATCTTGAGCACACAGTTTCTATTTCTTTGTTAATGAAATGGGAGTAAAAACAGTACCTCAAAGATTGGTTATGAAGATTCACACGATAATACATATAAAGTGCTTAGCACTATGTACCAATCAATACATTTTAGTTTTATTACTATTACGACATTATTACTGATGAATAGGAGTCTCCCAGTTACGGAAGGGTTAAGGAAACAAAGAGATTCATCATATCTGAGAAAAGATGAATGTGCAGGCTGTGGGAAATCTTACTTCAAGTAATGCAACCTCCTCTGGAACAAAACTGCCACCTCCCAGCAAGATGCCGCCCCCCCCCAGTCCTGTTTCCCTGTGGAATTAATCACTCCTTTGCACTTGCAGACTGTATTTCTTACGCTTTTCTTATGGCTTCAACTTTAGCCTCTCTTAGTTGAGTGCATTCACCTATCTAAGGAGTGTATAGAAATTGTCACCCATTATGAAGGTATATAATGAAATTAGTCTTAAATCAGACTCAAGTTCATGACTCCAAAATAGAAAAGGTTAAGTGCCACAAAGGGGGTGTATAAGAATTGTCCTGGGAGTTAGGAAATTCTACTTTTGCATACATGCTACCTTCCCTTCTAGAATGGAAACGGCCAGGGCACACAGGCTGTTTTAGACCTGCAACACCTGGCTAAGGAAGCTTAGTAGTTCATTCA